GCTGAGAGCTGCAGAGAGGCTGATCCATGGAGCTTCAACACAGCAACCTCCAAACATGTCCACCCTCACACACATCGTCTGTTAGAGAACAAACATGGGGTTGGTGGAGGTCTGACGTGAAGCTCCTGCTCTCTCCACAGACAATAAGCTGCAGCGTTACAAGCCTCTGGCAGCAGCAGCTTGGAACTAAATCACAGAATAAAGTATTTGACTCACGAGAAGTCTTTTTTCATCAGTAATTGAAATAAATCACGGAGCTAAATCCAGACGAAGCTTCTCATCATGAAGGAAAACAAAAAGGCCGAGTTCAACTCCCGGATCGACAACATCAAAATGTGGGTGGGATAGGTGAAGCACCCACACCTGCCTCCACCCTCATTTGCCCCACTCCCACTCTGGGTCCTTAACCCCCACATCTGCTCCCCCAGGCACCCTAGGTAGCAGCTCTCTGCTCCACACAGGGCTGTGGTAGCCCGGTGGTCTGTGGTTGCATCAGGAAGGGCATCCGGCGTAAAAACAATTCCCAAATCTTCGTGAGTTAGTTCACTGTGGCGACTCCTGAAGAAGGGAGCAGCCGAAATAAAAAATAAAATTAAATAAAATTTAAATGTGATAAATAAATTAATGAATGGACACAAAAATGTGCAAAGTTCAAATCAATCTATTTTTTATCAATTTAGTTTCCAACCAGTCAGGCTTTTTTGGATGTTTTTTTTTTTTTTAGGTGGGCACGATCAACACTTCTTCAGATATTCAAAGTTTTCTTTGAACGTTGCTTACTCCTCCATTTTCCTCCAGTTTGGTTAGCTGACCACAACAGCAATGTGTACAATTTGTGCTTATAAATATAAATAAAAAAAACGGACATGTGGAGAACAAAAGAAGAAGTCCTAAAAAATAAAAAAAATAAAAGTCACTGTAATGTCACTTGATTGATATGTGCTGCTGACTATCCATGCTGCTGATCCCATGCTGCTGATCCCATGCTGCTGATCCGTTTCATGCTGCTGTGTTCATTCGTCCTCATCTGCTCACACAGACTCATGTTTGTGCTGCTGTTGTTCAGGGTATTGTTTTGTACTAATAGTGTTTAGTGTGTACTTTGTTCATATCTTGGATCTTATTACTGTTTTTCTTTATAATTTATACTTTTGTTGGATGTAACTGGAACCCTGTGTACACAATTTTGTTCCACCTCATGTACCACATGTGATGTGAATGACAATAAAGAACCTTGATCTAAATATAAAAACTATCTAGAATAGATGAACAGAATCAGACAATCATCTCAAAGAGGAACAAATCCAGAAAGACAGGTCAAGCCTGTATAAATTTATATTTGCACACAGTAGAGCACAAGACTGTTCTTAATCACCTGTAAAAAATAAAACTTGTTCATCTTAATTATGTCCTGAGTCCTGAGAGATTCTTTACTAGTATGTAAAAAAATGGTCAAATACTGGACTAAAGTCAAGTTAAAATGCAGTTAAAGTAAAAAATAAAAAGCTTTAAAAGACTAGAGGAACTGTCAATCAAACCAGTTCCATCCTTGTGCACGTGAAATGTTTTGCTCATGATAAGTGTGTTCACCTTTAGGGTTATTAAAAGAAACCTTTCCAGAGGAACCTGTTCAAAAAGATTTGTATTGTCCACGTGCATTGAGCTACACCCTAAACCGTTCAAACTCAGAGTTTTATTTTCCCATTTATTAATAGCTTTACAGATTATAGTTTTGTTGCAAGCATGCAAACGTGCATGGATTTGGGAACAGGAAGGGTATGGCAGCTTGTTATACGTGTAAAAGCAAGAAACTCAACTAGCAGAGTAATTAACTTTGTTAACATTAAATATTAGTCTTAAAAATGTTTTGGCATTAACAAAGCCACACCTTTTTACAAACTGTAATGACAGGGTGTTGTCTGGTCAAGTGTGCAGTGCAAGTGTGAGAAAGTTAAAGCATGCTTGTTTTGTCAGTCAATCAGACATAAAACAGCTGTCAGAGAGAAACGCACTCAGCAGGAGTTCATCCTAGAATTTTCCACACTCAGCTAGGGCTGGACGATACGGCCAAAACATGTATCACGATATATTTCTTAATGCCGGTTGATAACGATATAAACAATATAAAAGCCTCAGAAAAACTGTACAAATAAATTAATGTTCACCTTTTACTTGTATTTAGCCTATAAAAATTTTAAATCACTATCAAATAAACATAAAACTCTTAACTTTGTCAATAGTTTTAACTTTAATCAACATAACCTCTTTTGATACAGCTGGGGTGTTTCAGGGACACGTTGGCTCAAACTTTATTGTGCTTCATCTTCTGACTCTCAGCATATTCTATCGAGTGGAACAAGTTAGATGTTCCCACCGCTAGTTGGAACGACTGTCCGTCACATTTTGCAGCACAATGACTGAAACCTGCAGTTAATCGGATCTTAGAAAGCCGAACCACTTCCACACCGCTGAATTAATCTTTCCTCTTTTATCAATTATGTCATCTGCTTTCTCTTCGCTTGTGAAAGCTTGTTCAGTCACATTCTGGCGGTCACGGGCACTCATTTTGAAGCAAAAACTTACCGCGCGTTGGAGATTAGCCTAGCCTAGCCTGCTACCGCTAACACCTTCTGAACATCTACGTCACCACGCACTTACATAGCTGTGTCACACCTTTTTCTGTTCGGGTTGAAACTGAAGCGGCCGCTTCAACCCGAAAAGAAAAAGAAATGCGTCAGTGAAACGCTGTAATCATATCGAAATATCGAAAATGTGCTTAAAACTCATATCACAGTTACTGAATAAAAGTATATCGCGACATCTATCGATATCGAATTATTGTCCAGCCAAGAAATGTATTTATGGAAAGTGAAAAAGTGTAACGGGAGGACAGGTACTCACCCTGCATAAGGAAAGTGCTCAGCAGCTGATCAGTGGCTACAGGTTTGATTTCTGTTCGCAGGTTGACGTATCGACCCACTACCAGAGGAGCTCTCCTGAACCCGAGAATCCTGAAGACGAGATGGAAAACAGACAAGAAGAGTTAAAAACACAGTTTTCCTGATGGATAGATCTGACAGTAGCACTAATGATGCTTATGCACCTGTCCAGGTGAAAAGCAGCCACCTCTGCATTGTGTCTGTCGTAACCTGCATACGGTTCTCCTTCAACCACAAAGTCTCTCTTGTACCTGAACACAAAGAACAAAAGTTAAATTGCTCGAATGCAAAACTTAAAGAAGTCTAATCTAACTGTTAAATGTCTGACCTCTTGGGTTTGAAGACGACTTTCTGTCCTCCGTCGAGCACCAGCAGGGCTTTGAGCTGTGTGCCCTTATAGCCCACATCAGCTCGCTCTATCCTGGCGCTGCTCAGTGAGGTGAGCACCGCAGCCAGCTCAGGGGTCTCCTCAGGGTACACTTCTCTTGGGCCCACCCACTGGCTCGCTATCTCCCACGGAGACTGGAGGGTGTGGGTGAGGTGAGTGCCCCGAGCCAGAGAGAGACCAGCCTCCATCTGTGAGGATGTTGCAACAACGTGTGCAATTACATAAAATATTAAGAAAATAAACATGGTGTGTTTTAGTCTTCTCAAACCCAGCACTTTCTAAGTGCTGCTAACACTGACATGGAGCTGACCTTACGAAATGCTCTGAGGTCCCGCCGGCTGGCTGCAGATCCTTCACCTCCATCCAGGAGGAAGATCTTGGCCAGGCCCAGCAGGAGGAGCACGGCACACAGCACCACCATACGCTGTTTGAGCTTCATCTCCTCACTGACCGGCCTCGACTGCCTCTTCACCCGGTGATGGTTGTGTCTCCTGCAGCAAAGACCCCTCACCCCTGACGCATGGCTCTCAAAACAGTGTCCAACCCACCCAGTCTGCGCTGGAGAATGAACTCTTAGAAGAGAAGGGGGGATCTGCAGCCTATTAGTTTCCTCCAGAGGAACACTTTGGGTAAGTAATTTTTTTACCTGCAATGGTAAAAAGAAAGGACACCAAAATGGGAGAAAGAAAGTGAAGAGGACATAAGGAAGAGAAATGATACACCAGAGTTGTACTCTCAATAATGTGCACAGAGAAAACTGATTGATTACTTTTCCTGAAGGCAGAGGATGACCTAGCTTCACTAGCTGCCAGCACATAAGCCAGTTTACAAAGGAGTTGAGACTCCATGCTATTTCTAAATAAAAACAAAGTTGCTCCATCATCATCGTGTGGCATGGAGGCTGCACAGCTGCAGAAAGAAAAGCTTTGCAGAGAGTGGTGAAGGCTGCACAGAAGACTGTTGGAGTCAGTCTCCCCACCATCAGACATCTACACCTCCAGATGCAGGAAGAGGGCCACCTGCATCATGAAGGATCCCACTCACCCAGCACGCATAATTTTTGCCCCGCTCCCCTCAGGAAGGAGGTTAAGGAGCATTAAGTGTAGAACCACTAGACTGAGGAACAGCTTCTACCCTGAAGCTGTTAGACTCATGAATCACTAACCAGGATTATCACTGTGAAAAATCACATCATGTTGCTGATGATCTGTTTCATGTTGCTGCTGATCTGTTTCATGTTGCTGCTGATCTGTTTCATGTTGCTGCTGATCTGTTTCACGTTGCTGCTGATCTATTTCATGTTGCTGCTGATCTATTTCATGTTGCTGCTGACCTGTTTCACGTTGCTGCTGATCCGTTTCA